CGCAGCTTACAGTGCCGTTCCTCTCTCTTTGTCTTTCAGGCTTTAGTCGGGAGCCCCATCAGCCGCGCATGTCTCAAAAGGCTGTCAACTGCTGGTTCCTGGCCGTGACTCTCCTACGCAACCCATCTTTTATCAAGTACCACCACCGAGGCCTCCATTTCACAGCATCTGTTGTGACTCTTGGAAGTGTCAACTTTGACGTTCCAGTGTAAACCTTTGAGACTAAGTCAGAAGGAAGAACACTCTTAACTTTATTAAACACGTAGATTGTGGTAGAGAAGTGACCAAGGAAGCACACAAAGTACTCATTGGAAAACAAGTTAAGATTGTGGATTTTTATTGCTGGCTTCGGAAATGGGAATTCTATTATCTGACAAACATGGAGGCAAATGGTAACATTTGCAATTTAAGATGAAGTGCTTTTAAATCTTTTTCTCTGTAAACGATAGTGGATTCTTAATATTGATCAGTTTTCTTTGGTACATTTGAATTTTTTTTTTTTTTTTAAAGATAATATATAAGGTATTGGAAGGTAATATATACAAAAAGAACAAGCAGTTTAAGTTAGGCTAAAAGCCAAGTATATAGGAAAGAAAAAAAAGAGAAAAATAATAAATAAATATTGCGTTTGCTTGGGCGTTTTAAGCGAAAGTTTTTTGGTTTTTTATTTTTTGTTTGTTTGTTTGTGTTTTTTTTATTTTTGTTTTTGTTTTTGTTGTTGTTGTATTTTTTTCCTTTAAATATTATGAAAGTAAGAAAAGTAAAAATTGGCGCACGATACCAAATAACGTTGTGAATTAATGAGGTCTGTGATTAGGGGAAAGACTTGGGAAGGAAGGTGTGGGTTTGGAAGAGGAGCAAAGAACCAGCGGCAAGAAGGAATACTTAGTTGACAGACAGCTGTGAGCATTGACCACACGAGTGTTTTGGCGAGGGCCGATTTCTTTCACACGTGCGAATAGATATATGTTATTTGCCGGCTGGGAGGTCCGTATAGTGGTGAAAAACTGTGACCTCGGTCTTGAAAATACTGCCCGAGGCCGTAGGCCGAGGGCAGCATTTTCAAGACCGAGGTCACAGTTTTTCACCACTATACGGACCGACCCTTAGCCGGTAAATAACATATTTATTGTTTTTAAACTTGACGAAATTCTTTCCGAAAGAACCCGAATGATTTATGGACGTAAATACGGCAAGATCTTCCATAAACTGAACAATTTTTGAGTGGGTAAATGGTAGTTAAAATAGAGGTGATGCAAATTTAAGAGAGATGCCTCAGCGAAACATTTTCATTTCCGTAACGATAAAGGTGATTTAAAAGGCTTCCAAACAAACTTTGAAACATTATTTTTACAAGTATCTGTCACAATCTGACACCTGTCAATTAGAGAGCGCGCAAGAAAAAAAAAGGGTAGGAACATTTGAAAACAAACAGAACTAGTTTGGCAAGGACTGTCACGACAATGTTTTCTTCAAAATCAGTTAATGATCTAACGGAAAGTATTATTCACTCTCATCGACCATTCATTCATGTACGAAGATTTACCTCTGTTCATTAAGTAAACGGCGAGGAAAGTAATTGTGAGTAAATTCATTTTTTTTTATTTTGAAGTTGTGAGAGTTTGCTCGTTTGTTTGCTGTAATGGCGTGTTTAACTCTGATCTTTCCTTCACAAAAACTAAATTCGAACGGCACACTCCAACGAGACACAAGGGAATGTAATGCGGCCTTTTCTCAATTCCTTCAATTTCTGTTGTGCAATTTAAGGTACAAATGTCCAAATTGAACGGAATTGGAAAGACTCACCAGGAGCGTATAGTTGTTGTAGAACTTAAATTAAAACTTCGCTCGCTCTTTCACTATGAACAAATTGCTCGAGAAAATTCAGATATTAAATGAATGAAAGTTCCATCGTTCAGTTTAACTGTAACCAAATACCTCACGTTTCAACTTTCTGGGTACTTTTTGTGAACGATTAAAATCAATTGCAGACGGTTTTTAGGCCGCTTGTCAACCAACGTAATGACACTATTGTTTATACAAATTCATTCTGAAACCAATGTTTTCCTGTCAACCAAAGTGATTTGATAGAGAGAAAAGAGAGGATTCATAAGTTATTTATCGGCTTGAGGTAGTGACCGACGTGTTTGCTTAAAAATACTGCCCAGCCGGAAAACGAGGTATATTTATGAAAAATGACAACGAAAGTTGGGATGTACTCGGCGACTCACGAAAGCGTTACCGTGGCCCGTGGGCAGAGATAGGAAAAAACTGACCGGGTAAAGAACCAATCAAATTGCAAGATTCGTTACCGTGCCCTCTAGAAAAACAATAAATTCATTTACAACTAGCAACTCTAACATCTTGAAGACCTCTGATCTTTCTCGGAAAAAATTAGCGGAAGTGGAAAGTGAGGTGGAAGTGAAATATTGGATTGGTGGGACTACCGGCGAAACCGGATTTCATTCAATTTTGTTTGTCTATTTTTACCCGCGCGGGGATCCCGGTCGTATTCCCGCTGACTCCCTGGTACAAATCCCCTCACCAGCATCCCGAGAGAGGTGTCCCGTGGGAATCTAGGCGGGAATTTGAGAAAATACCGGCGTACACTCCAGAGGGTAATGACATCAAGGAACTCGTCTTTTTTGTCTTATAACTAACCATTTCATTCTTTCATAAATTTACGAAGACGGTACAATCGAGCAACCGCTTTTAACTGAGTGTTATCACCATTTAATACAGGTTAACAACAAAAGACAAGAAAACAACATTTTAAAGCATAATTTATGATATCAATGTTTAGCTTTTTTTAAAAAAAATCGCTCTAAAATGTTTCGAATCTTGCATGTCACCCAGTCGAGGGTCTCCATGGGATTAACCGATAGCCGTATTGTATATCGGTCAAAAAACTAGCTGTTAGGCGTAAAAATTGAACAATTTTAACCCTTAGTTGTAGAAAAAAAATTAACCTTAAAAATCTTTCCTTCCTTCAATGTGTTATTTTGTGTTATTTTGGGTTAACTGCAGCAGAAACATGGCCACAATTTTAGCCGTTAGCCGTAAAAAGTTCTCCTTGGTCGGCCCTCCTCTGTTTTAAGAAAGTTTCGGTTTTTTGAACAGGCTGTTTTAGTTAAGTTTGCAATCGTGGAAAAAAAAAGTCATGATCGTCTAGGGTACCTCCTATGATGACGCTTTCGATGAACAGATTAAAGCACCATCTCCCAAAGTGATAGGTAATTTCTCTTTTCTTGCCTCCAACGATTTTTGACGAAACATATCTGTCTCATTACATGCAAAAAGAGCGCGTTGCGTGACATCCTAAGTAACGGCTACCAATGAAACTTGCAGCTATAAGATCTGAAAATATCGAGGTTTACATCTTATTTAATAACTCTATCCAAGGAAATGGGCAAAAGTTGAACGAATGAGACATCGGTGCGCTCACATCTTCAAACGACAAGATGTGACAAAACATCATATCTATCGCATGACGCGCTAAAGAAGTGCGTCGCGTGACATCCTCAGGAACGGCTGCCTATGATCGATACTAGCAGTTATAGAGTCAGAAAATATCGAAATTCATCTCTCATTCAATAAATCTATTCAAAGGAGTGGGCAAAAGTTATTAAGCAAATAGGACTTAGGCGCACTCACTACTTCAAATGATAAGAAATGGGTTATGCTCGTTGATGCAGAAATTTTCTTCCCTTTGTTATCGGTTTCCTCTTCCATTCTGACAAAATTCCAGCGACTTGTTTCATTGTTTGACATTCAAATGTTAGTTTATTGTACTTAGATAATAGGTAAACAATCTAGTCGGAGAAACTAAATGAAATCGTTTGGCTCCAACTTTCTAGCTTGTTCTGAGCTTCTTTTAATGCTTTGTGCGCTAGTAACTAAAATTAATATAAAACTTCTCGTTTTGCCTTTGGACGATTAGTTTAAACAAAATAATTAAAATGCATCGTTCTGCTTGTAAAAATAACACAATTTATCGCGTTCAAAATTAACTGATATCAGGATTAAATCCTGGCCATTACGACCAAAATCTGTCATTTTAAGTCCAGATAAACCAAATTCTGATCGGCAGAAACCAAGTTTAGGTACCAATGACTGGGTACAAATCCTCGAAAAGTCACAATTTCCATCTGACATAAACTAAGATAATCGAGCAATCAGACAACTGATTATTCTCTAATTTCCATGGAAATTCTCTACACTCGCACATGGCTGTAACAGCTTTACATCACTCATGAGACAAAAACCGATTAAGAAAAATTTGTAAAAAAACTCTGGAAAACGTTTTCAAGACGTTTCAACTTCGACGTAAACGCAAAGCCTTAATCCTCTTAGTAGCTAATACTTAGAGTTTAAAAAAAAAACGTTTTACATAGCTAGTCATGATAATTCCAAGACATCATATAAATAAAAATAAAAAATAAAAAAAAAATAGTTGTTCAGGCAGGAAATCAAAGGTGAAGCTCGTAAGAGCAGTTCAGACAAGCAAAAAGTCAACTTTTGAATCAATTGACATTCGTTCTCTTGTTAAACTTGACTTTGGCCGTCTTTTGGTTCTTCCTGCTTTAAAAAGAAGACTCTTGACAAATATTTCATCTGTAGCTTACTGGTTTATGGTCCAAATATCAGCGTGTGCAGGTATCCTAAAACTCCCTGGGATTCCAATGCTCACTGCCTTAACTGAAAAATATAAGAATCTAAGTTTAGGAAGGATAGATGAGTTGCCATGAAATATTTCTTAGCACATGAAACAATACATTGCACAACAGGATTGTTTCAAAATAATTTGCTTTTTTAGTCCTATCAGGTTTCCTAAAAAGAAAGTTATCATCGTAAACGTGTCCTCTTGATTGTATTGCATCTAAATTTGCCGGAGCAAAACATAAATTTGTAACCCAACTGAAACATATAAGCAATAATTATGATTTAATGTAACTTTGTATTGAATAGAGTGTGTAAACAGAATAAAACAGAATATTTACTTACTTAAGCTTCGAAATATCTTTGAAGTCCAGGTTGACGTCGTCACCAATGAGTACAAATGGTGCCCAGTGCCAAACCTCCTTGAACTTTTCAATTTCTCTCATACACTTCATGGCCTGATTGAGAGCTTCACTTGCCTTCTTGCCTTTGGCAAGTGCATCGTAGAAGAAACTCATGAACTCCAGGGTTCCCTGGTCGCCAATCGCCCACAAGGTTACCACAACAGATCTAGCACCGGCACCCAAAAGTGCACGCGCCATGCCGACCACACCCTCGGCCATGACCTCCCCACGAGCAGTGTGAGAGCAGCTAAGTACAACCAGACGTGCTCGCAACCCAGCTTCTATGACATCTTTCATCGTCAGTAGATAGTCTTTCTCTTGCGGCTGAGGGTTATCTCTTGTGGTGTTTGGTGCCAGGATAACTTCTCCAGTTTCCATTTTACTGTGCGCGGCAATATGAACTAACGCCACTGATGATATTCGTTTTAACACTTCATGTTTTGTTCCCATTTCTCCAGTGAGAGGGGAGACATTGAGGATACGTCCGATCATCTCCACTTCCTTCCTTGCTCCTGGAAGCTGCACCAAAGGTCCTCCCCGATAGATGATATGTTTGAAACATGGGTCACCGACTAGCAATGCACCGGTCTTCACGTGAAAGTCAGCTGGACAATCATGAATTAGTTGCAACGTCGTCAGAGAGGGAAGCACACGAATTCTGAAAGAATCACTTAAATATGATGAGTTCGACTCCTGCAATGCTGCATAAGGTACAAGGCAAAATGGCCCCTCAGGAACGAATGTGATCTCGTCGTTGCCTTTGATCAGGTCAGCAATAGGAGCAACGATGATGTCATGCAGCTTATTTAAAGCACTTGATTGGGAGTGTCTCACATCAACTCGGATCACACCATTGGCCATTTCTTCTTCTGTCGGCGAATCAAGCAGAGGATTTTCGATTGCAACAGTAACTCTTGCACCGATCTCCTTAAGAGCAGATTTGTTCAGTAACTGGATGTTTCTCACATCAACTCGGATCACACCACTGGCCATTTCTTCTTCTGCCGGCGAATCAAGCAGAGGATTTTCGATTGCAACAGTACCTCTTGCACCGATCTCTTTAAGAGCAGATTTGTTCAGTAACTGGATGAAAAATTTCAATTCATCCTCATATTTATAATTGTTCACGTGTACTTCTCTCATCTGGATATTATCTTCACTGAGGCAAACCCAGAAGTAAACGCATGGTCCGTTAATAGCTATGAAAACTGTGCTCAATGGAACCCACCTCAGAGAAATGCGGGATGCGCTGGGCGTTAAAGAATATCCAGGCTGATATTTTGTGACCATGAGATCTCTCAGAGCTTGTGCACGTCCTTTCTCTGTGGCAAGAAGAGCTTTCACAACTTGACCTCGACTGATATTTACACGCCACAAACCTTTGTATGCTACTTGGTGCTGATTACGATAAGAAATCTTCCACTGATCGTTGAGTTGAAGACTGGCCCTGATATCATCATACAATTCTACACTCGAGCAATAACAGTCAAAGGCCATCATAAGATTTCCTTGGCATTCAAAACTGCTTCCAAGGGAACAGAGTGAGCACGCCTCTCCAGTCTTATCTCCCACTTCTTTGGATATTTCTAGGTGACGTTGGTAACACTTGATTGCCGTTTCCAACTGTCTTTGACGGAGATGAATCCCGCCGAGAAGGCAATAACTGATTCCCTCTCCGGCCTTGTCTCCCACTTCTTTAGCAATTTCTAGATGACGCTGATGGTACTGGATGGCTGTTTTGAACTGTCTTAGACTGCAATAAGCGTTGCTGAGATTGCAATAACTTTTTCCCTCTCCGGCCTTGTCTCCCACTTCTTTAGCAATTTCTAGATCACGTTGATGGTACTGGATGGCTGTTTTAAACTTTCTTAGACTGCGATAAGCGTTGCCGAGATTGCCATAACTGACTCCCTCTCCGGCCTTGTCTCCCACTTCTTTAGCAATTTCTAGATGACGTTGATGGTATTGTATGGCTGTTTTGAACTGTCCTAGACTGCAATAAACTTTGCCGAGACTGCCATAACTTCTTCCTTCTCCGGCCTTGTCTCCCACTGCCTTAGCAATTTCTAGATTACGTTGATGGTACTGGATAGCTGTTTTGAACTGTCCTAGGCTGCCATAAGAGTTGCCGAGATTGCCATAACTGGTTCCCTCACCGGCCTTGTCTCCCACTACTTTAGCAATTTCTAGCTGACGTTGATGGTACTGGATGGCTGTTTTGAATTGTCCTAGACCTTGATAAGCGTTGCCGAAATTGCCATAACTTCCTCCCTCTCCAGCCTTGTCTCCAACCTCTTTAGCAATTTCTAGATGACGCTTATGGTACTGAATGGCTGTTTTGAACTGTCCCAAACTGCAATAGGCTTTGCCGAGATTGCCATAACTGATTCCCTCTCCGGCCTTGTCTCCCACTTCTTTAGCAATTTCTAGATGGCGTTGATGGTACTGGATGGCTGTTTTGAACTGTCCTAGTCCTTGATAAGCATTGCCGAAATTGCCATAACTTCCTCCCTCTCCAGCCTTGTCTCCCACCTCTTTAGCAATTTCTAGATGACGCTGATGGTACTGAATGGCTGTTTTGAACTGTCCTAGACTGCAATAAGCTTTGCCGAGATTGCCATAACTGATTCCCTCTCCGGCCTTGTCTCCCACTTCTTTAGCAATTTCTAGATGACGTTGATGGTACTGGATGGCTGTTTTGAACTCTCCTAGGCTGTGAAAGGCGTTACCGAGATTGCCATAACTTCTTCCCGCTCCGGCCTTGTCTCCCACCTTTTTAGCAATTTCTAGATGATGTTGATGGTACTGGATGGCTGTTTTGAACTGTCCTAGACTGCGATAAGCGTTGCCGAGATTGCAATAACTGATTCCCTCTCCAGCTTTGTCTTCCACTTCTTTAGCAATTTCTAGATCACGTTGATGGTACTGGATGGCTGTTTTGAACTGTCCTAGACTGTGAAATGCGTTACCGAGATTGCCATAACTGATTCCCTCTCCGGCCTTGTCTCCCACCTCTTTAGCAATTTCTAGATGACGTTGATGGTACTGGATGGCTGTTTTGAACTGTCCCAGACTGTGAAATGCGTTACCGAGATTGCCATAACTTCTCCCCTCTCCGGCCTTGTCTCCCACCTCTTTAGCAATTTCTAGATGATGTTGATGGTACTGGATGGCTGTTTTGAACTGTCCTAGACTGCGGTAAGCTTTGCCGAGATTTCCATAACTTCTTCCCTCTCCGGCCTTGTCTCCCACTTCTTTAGCAATTTCTAGATGACGTTGATGGTATTGTATGGCTGTTTTGAACTGTCCTAGACTGCGATAAGCTTTGCCGAGATTGCCATAACTTCTTCCCTCTCCGGCCATGTCTCCCACCACTTTAGCAATTTCTAGATGACGTTGATGGTACTGCATGGCTGTTTTGAACTGTCCTAGGCTGCCATAAGAATTGCCGAGATTGCCATAACTGATTCCCTCTCCGGCCTTGTCTCCCACTTCTTTAGCAATTTCTAGACAACGTTGATGGTACTGAATGGCTGTTTTGAACTGTCCTAGACCTTGATAAGCGTTGCCAAAATTGCCATAACTGATTCCCTCTCCGGCCTTGTCTCCCACTTCTTTAGCAATTTCTAGACGACGTTGATGGTACTGAATGGCTGTTTTGAACTGTCCTAGACCTTGATAAGCGTTGCCAAAATTGCCATAACTGATTCCCTCTCCGGCCTTGTCTCCCACTTCTTTAGCAATTTCTAGATGACGTTGATGGTACTGGATGGCAGTTTTGAACTCTCCTAGACTGTGATAAGCGCTGCCAAGATTGCCATAACTTATTCCCTCTCCGGCCTTGTCTCCCACTTCTTTAGCAATTTCAAGATAACGTTGATGGTACTGGATGGCAGTTTTGAACTGTCCTAGACTGCGATGAGCGTTACCGAGATTGCCATAACTTCTTCCCTCTCCGGCCTCGTCTCCCACTTCTTTAGCAATTTCAAGATGACATTGATGGTACTGGATGGCTGTTTTGAACTGTCCTAGACTGCGATAATCGTTGCCGAGATTGCCATAACTGATTCCCTGTCCAGCCTTATTTCCCACCTCTTTAGCAATTTCTAGATGACGTTGATGGTACGGGATGGCTGTTTTGAACTCTCCCAAACTGTGATAAGCGTTGCCGAGATTTCCATAACCTCTTCCCTCTCTGGCCTTGTCTCCTACTTCTTTAGCAATTTGTAGATGACGTTGATGGTAATGTATGGCTGTTTTGAACTGTCCTAGACTGTGAAAGGCGTTACCGAGATTGCCATAACTTCTTCCGTCTTCGGCCTTGTCTCCCACCTCTTTAGCAATTTGTAGATGACGTTGATGGTAATGTATGGCTGTTTTGAACTGTCCTAGACTGTGAAAGGCGTTATGGAGATTGCCATAACTTCTTCCCTCTCCGGCCTTGTCTCCCACTTCTTTAGCAATTTCTAGATGACGTTGATGGTACTGGATGGCTGTTTTGAACTCTCCTAGGCTGTGAAAGGCGTTACCGAGATTGCCATAACTGGTTCCCTCTCCGGCCTTGTCTCCCACCTCTTTAGCAATTTCTAGATGACGTTGATGGTACTGAATAGCTGTTTTAAACTCTCCTGGACTGTCATAAGTGTTGCCAAGATTGCCATGACTGATTCCCTCTCCGGCCTTGTCTCCCACTTCTTTAACAATTTCTTGATGACGTTGATAGTACTGGATGGCTGTTTTGAACCCTCCTAGACTGTGATAAGCGTTGCCGAGATTGCAATAACTTTTCCCCTCTCCGGCTTTGTCTCCCACTTCTTTAGCAATTTCAAGATGTCTTTGATAGTACTGGATGGCTGTTTTGAACTGTCCTTGACTGTGATAGGCGTTGCCGAGATTGCAATAACTGATTCCCTCTCCGGCCTTGTCTCCCACTTCTTTAGCAATTTCTAGATGACGTTGATGGTACTGAATGGCTGTTTTGAACTGTCCCAGGCTGTGAAATGCGTTACCGAGATTGCCATAACTTCTTCCCTCTCCAGCCTTGTCTCCCACTTCTTTAGCAGTTTCTAGATGACGTTGATGGTACTGGATGGCTTCTTTGAACTGTCCTAGACTGTGATAGGCTTTGCCGAGATTGCCATAACTTCTTCCCTCTCCGGCTTTGTCTCCAACCTCTTTAGTAATTTCTAGATGACGTTGATAGTACTGGATGGCTGTTTTGAACTGTCCTAGACTGCGATAAGCGTTCGCAAGATTGCGATAACTGATTCCCTCTCCGGCCTTGTCTCCCACTTCTTTAGCAATTTCTAGATGGCGTTGATAATACTGGATGGCTGTTTTGAACTGTCCTAGACTGTGATAAGCATTGCTGAGATTGCCATAACTGATACTCTCTCCGGCCTTGTCTCCCATTTCTTTAGCAATTTCCAGATGACGTTGATGGTACTGGATGGCTGTTTTGAACTCTCCTAGACCTCTATAAGCGTTGCCGAGATTGCAATAACTGATTCCCTCTCCGGCCTTGTCTCCCACCTCTTTAGCAATTTCTAGATGACGTTGATGGTACTGGATGGCTGTTTTGAACTCTCCTAGAACTCTATAAGCGTTGCCGAGATTGCAATGACTGATTCCCTCTCCGGGCTTGTCTCCCACCTCTTTAGTAATTTCTAGATGACGTTGTTGGTACTGAATGGCTGTTTTGAACTGTCCTAGGCTTTGATAAGCGTTGCCGAGATTGCAATAACTGATTCCCTCTCCGGCCTTGTATCCCACCTCTTTAGCAATTTCTAGATGACGTTGATGGTACTGGATGGCTGTTTTGAATTCTCCTAGACCTCTATAAGCGTTGCCGAGATTGCCATAACTGATTCCCTCTCCGACCTTGTCTCCCACCTCTTTGGCAATTTCTAGATGACGTTGATGGTACTGAATGGCTGTTTTGAACTGTCCTAGTCTTTGATAAGCGTTGCCGAGATTGCAATAGTTTCTTCCCTCTTCAGTCTTATCTCCCACTTCTTTAGCAATTTCTAGTTGACGCTGATGGTACTTGATAGCTGTTTGAAACTTTCCTAGGCCTTGATAAACATTTCCGAGATTGGAAGAACTGTTTTCCGTGACTATTAGTTCAGCATTAGTTTTCCTTAGTAATTGAAGCAGACGTTTGTTGTTATTTTCAATCTTAAAACGTGTCAAGGGTTGATAAATCATGAGGAGATTTTCGAAAATGCAGTGAGAGCATTAGATAGAACTTTAAACTTGAATGATAATTCGAACGTGGGATGTTTTCAGAGATTTGATTTCAAGTTATTGGAGAGTTTTAACTAGCTCTGAAGCGCATTTATTGGTTTAGGTTCGGTCGTCATGGTGATGCTCGTCTGAAGACAAAAATGAGGGGTATTCAGCTCAAACTCTGAGAATTAACTACTCTTCTTTTGAGTAAAGTTTTGTGGAATAATCGAAAGAATTCTTTAAGAATATTTTAGCTTCTTTAAACTGCTCAGTGCAGTATAAGAGAACATTGCTTGCATTATGTGTTGAAGAATCTCTCCGGAACGTATTGATTTCCCTTGAAATATTACTCGCATTGCATCTCGTATCACCTTTGAAACATTCGTTAAAGGATACGGCCAATCCCATATACAACCAGCTCCTTGCTTCTTTATACCGGCAAAGTTCGACACACGCTTCTGCTCCTGAAAAGGAGAGAATAATTGGTGGTGCGTAGTAATTCATCATTGTTAAGGTATAAACGTATTTGTAAAATGGACTTAATTTCCCATTTAGCTGGGAACAAAAATTGTGATAATTAAGGAATTTTGAACTTGTGAAAGAATTGAAAATGAACAATAAGGGGCTAATGCAAAGCGGCTACCAATTAAGCTTCAGTTGATGATAATAACGATGAATTTATCTCGCGCATTCTTCATTTGTGCTCTTACGCGCTTTTCAGCCCTTTTCGGGGAAGTTTTCGGGCAGACTGCATTGAGCAGTTTAGCTTTTGAAGGGAAATTTTTCAGGTGTCTCTTTGCCGGGTTTTGTAATGTCCCCTGCTAAGAGTTACAGAGAAGATGCAGGAAACGGGGGTTACGGCTTTCCGTCCATATCGGAACAAGAATATCAAACCATTTGCAGATGTCATAGCTAGGTGGCAACACATTCTCCTCAGATATTTTAAGAGTGTTGTTCTGGTCTAGGGCTTGAGCCCTCGGCCTCTGGCGCTCTACAACGTGAACTAACCAGGCAGCGGTATTTGAGAGCTTACTGACATTTTCTTACGCTTTTTACCCACATAACAGACATCGACACACCACATACAATTGACACTTGAAGTGCAGTTACCTGCCCCAAACCACACAATCCTCTTTTGACGAAATCAGAGAATAGAATGTTGATGGCTTATGTTTGAAAAACCCACCTTTCTCAATAGCTTTGATTAAAGTGGGTTCCAATTGAACAGCAACTGTTGCATCATCCAGACCTTCCATGTAGTTTGCTATGAGATTCAGGAAAGAAGGTTTAGAAGAGAAGCCTGACAAATTACAATTGGTTAAATTGCAGTCTACTAACGAGAATCATTTCTTTGCTTAATTTTCATCGGAAAATGAATCCCCCTTTTCAAAGGGGGATTCATGTATTTGTGCTTTGCTTCTGCTGTTGCTCAACTTCTTTCTTCTCTTGATGCAGATTGTGTATTCCGTTATCTTGTAACACTGCATGAAAGATTTATATATTTAGAAATAAAATTGTTACCCAAACGGAAATGAGCCGTTGCCCTGTTGTTGTAAAGCTTGGCGTTCAGTCGTTTATCTTTGCAGTTCACTTGAAGTCCTTCCGTGTAGGAGTTTATCGCTTTATTAGCTTCTCCTCTGGTGTATTCTTTGTTACCTTCCTGGAGACATACTATCGCTATCCCTGAAACACACCATGTTAGTGTTGATGATTTAGTAATGAGTTACAAGACCCTTGGCGGATGATGCCAAATTTATATAGTTCCAAACGAACAGTTAGGTTAAAGGAGCTTAGAGCCATAAAAATAAAAAAAGCTTACATTTAGGTCGAAAGACTTTCCAAAATTCCTTTACACCTGGGTTACGTTTTACAAAATGTCAAATTGGAATATAAAACCCCATAAGTTGCTGAGAAAAAATGTATAAAGCAAAGCAAAGCCAGGACCGAAAAAGGTTAAAACTTGTGAATGTTCGGATAGAGAAAAGAAACGTCGTGCTGAGAGTAACACGTGCATCAGAAAAACATTCTTTTTTCTTTTTTTTTCTTTTTGGTTTATTACACACATGTAATTGTCTATTGAGAACATGCTCGTAGAGGCTCACTGAAAAAAAAAATATCATTGGGAAAGTACTACTTTCCCGCGAATTTTCATTTTGCCTGTTGTGAAAGTCAGGGGTTCTACTATTTTGTTAGCTGGTGGTTTACAGCGTGAGCCTGGTGTTGACATAACTGTCCGAAAAGGTGTCAAATATTTAGAAGACCAAAACAGGCGATAGGGCCGAGACCGTGCCCCTTCTCTCTGTAGAATTCTCAAACTGCGTGAAAGCTCCTCCGAACAAGTATTGAACAATAAGAGACAAAAAAGATGTTCGCGTAAATACTTTCCTTTTGGCGGCCTAAAAAAAATTACCCGTTTGCAAATTTTTCAACACTGGACTTTACCAGGTCTACGGGTACCAACAGCTCTCTCTTATCGAAAATGGCTTTCTTACTAAAAATGACCAAATTTACAATATTTTCAAGTGCAAAAGAAAAATACTTTTTACTGCACAAATATCGTTCATTTTAGGTGCAAATTGTAGATACATCTTTTATCTCCAAAACATTGCGCGTTGATTTACAGGTAAGCACTTCTAAAACTCAGAAAACCGAGTTTTACCAAGCCTAGTAGGCCAATTTTGGCTCATTCTTCTTTAATTTAGGGCTCTTCAAAAGTGTAGTCGCGTTCAAATTTGCCGCTTTATTGCTTATGAGAAGTTAATGATGTCTACGCATTCTGCTCGATCGGATCGAGCAATAAATTGTTTTTCCCTTTGTTATTTTTAATTTTTCTGGTAACAAAGTTTGAAATTTAAAAAAAAATAATATTTGCTGTTTCAAAAACTTATTCACAGAACCTACGCAAGTTTTGATCTAAATGTGACAAAAACTCAACTGGGGCGTCTTTCAAAAAAATCTTGTTTCAGCCGGTGTTCTTACCACTTAAAGGGTCATTGTATACATCCAGTTCAGCATCACTTGACGTAACTTGACTTTCCTCTGTTGCTGAAATTACCGAGAAGATATTTCAACTTTGTTAGTGATCACAACCATGTGCAATTACAACTAGCCTTCTAATACTGGCGTATTTAGTGGATTCCTTAAAACATTCAAGTCGAGGTGGTCCAAAAAATTGAGCACCAGAATTAAAGTATACTTAATTAACAAACAGTACAAAATCACCATGACGAAGTCTTTCCCTGTTGCTTTTTCTCACCTGTAGCTGGAAACTCATTTTTCACCTCCAGTTCTTCTTCCGTTGTTGGGAGTTTACTTTCTGCCATAGCTAGAAATACAATTGAATTGATTGTACTGCGCTACATTGTTAAAAATAAAAAAGAGGAGACTCAGATGAAAGTAACCTAAAGAAAACGTTGTATACTTAATCATAGAGAAAGAATGAGAATCTCAAAGTTTCCTACGTCACGCTATTGTGATTGCGTGACAGCAGGTTGTGTCAAATTTGTTTTTTTCAATTGCTTGTTTGTTTGTTTTCGTAGTCTCATACGCTGAAACGTCGTTCAAGGCTGTCCCTGAACAAAATGCGCGAGTTCCAATAAACAACCCATTGTACCTGGTAGCCATGGATAAGCATCGATCAAAAATAATGCAATAAAAGACTCTTTCTCTCATTCCTTCATTTTATCGTGTGTGAGGCTGGGAGAATTCGCGAAACTTATTCGAAACCGGAACACCTTTAAGGATTTGCGTGACCATCACGAATTCTACCAACAGCCCGCGAGCCTATTGAGTAAAGAAACTTGTTTACCGACCCTGTCCCTCTACAAAGTGCATGTTGAAAATTTTCTCAAGGCTATCGAAAAATTGCTGGACAAAGTCTTTTTTTAACAGAATTATAAGTTCTAGTACATAAACTCCCTAATTAATTTTTTTCTGAAGGAACCAGGAAATTTAGAATAACTGCAAGAGCTGGTCCCTCTCCAAATTATGTTGGGAAAGGATCCGATTTTTTCATTTCGAATTCAAAAAAGGCGCTGAATACGAGGTTATTTTGAGGGACTGGAGAAGATGGCATCGGAAAGTGTCCTATTCATCAAAACTCTTGTTATCAAGAAACTTCATCTAGAACAAATTGCAAGCCATGCGCAACACAGAGACTTCTGCATAGCCTAATCTTGTAGTCCATCGAATGGATTCACTGCTAAGGCCATGAGCATTTGGCGGAGGAAGTAGACTGAAAGCAAAATGAAACTGAAAATTATTTGTGAACGAATTGCTGATCAAAAAAAGAATCTTTTGCAATATTATAGTGAATGGGAAATTAAAAACATTTCCCTGAAGCTGCTGAGGTGGTCTTGCCCTACAGAACAGGATTCTGCTCCAATATCAGCATTTATTGAGCCCCCAGTTTTATCTTCCAGCGCACGATGTAAACACGCAAACATTGTTCCTATTTAGTCAGTCATCACGCGAAAAGGTTTATCTACTAAAACCGAACTCTGACAGATAACCAGTGAGAAATGATACTACTAACCACCTTATAGATACGTAGTTCGAACATTTGAATACAAAAAAATTTATTCACCGTCGACGATTCCCGAGGCAAGTTTCGCAAGGAGTTGGATTGATGTTCCAAAGCGTTTAAAAAAACAGAATAATTAATCGTGTCGTTGACGAGGTTTCGTTTATATACGTAATCAAGAAATCGTAGTCATCGTGATTCTGGTGTCGAATTTTTCACTTTTGTTGACACGTTTTCCCAATTTCTCTGCTATTTACATGTTTAGGTGGGACCGGCGAGCGAGGAGGAAACCTGTGCTCTGATCGGCTACTCAACAGTGCAAAATGTGTTTTCTTTCGATTCCCACTTTGATACCCCACAAAAGGAAAAAAAAGAAATGCTTGTAGCCTCTTGAATACCTCGTATGACATCGTAACCAAACAGTATATTTCTGTCATATGAATAAAAGCTTTTCCAGTATTTTTGTCTAAAATAGAGGTCACAGATTCGTCCTAAATGAAAACAAAACAAACAAACAAAAAATCACAACAAACCTAGCAGATTTATTCGGTAATTCCATGGTGCATGAAAATGTTTTGTTAGCATGTGATATATCATTTGATCCTTTGCTAACGAAGACTTCGTCTCAGTCCTTAAAATGTATCGATGGAAATTGGTCGATGTACAGCCTTCTTAAGCTCACACTTGTTCAGTAATACACACGCATTTATGAGATATCAGATAGCCGCGCGTGGATACGAATTTTTTACCATCGAGTGTTCATGACATCTTTTGCACCATCAAAGAGATAATTCAATTGAAGCAGATAAATTCGTATCCACAAGCGGAAATGTATCATCCCTTTTATTCAAAAGCATTGATTGTAAATTTGAATGAAATACAATTTTTAAATAGGAGCATCGAAAACAGAAATTCATTTCACCGAAACTAAGTTCGCCGCAAAACAATTAACAATTGGTTCATACGTCAGCGTACGTTCATCGAGATGTGAAGCACGCGGGAAGTTTGGAGGGTACGAAAGATGCGTAAGAGTCGCTCGAGGTGTAGCCGAGAGCAACTCTAGCTTCCTGAGTTGCAACGCGATAGAAAAATTTTTTTTTCGAGGGATTTGTTTGCTGACGTCATGAGCGTGCACAATAGGAATATGTAGCACGCTCGCGCAATTGAATTTAATCAGGCAAATTTACTAGCCATGTTATAATTCAATTTCGGACATTGTAATACAACAGTTTATCATTACAAGAACTATTTCCTTTAAAAAAAATAATTGAATTCAGCTTCAGGTAAAAAAAACAATTTAAAAAAAAACCCACATGGAAAGTGAAACTTGGAATGACGACCTTGATACCCGTATATGTGATGATATAAATGGTACATTTACAACGTGCGGTGGAGAATTCACGTTTTGGAAACTGAGAAAATTCTGGTATTTCACCGACAACCATTTTACCGTTATTATTACTATATATCCCAAATGTTATGATATCAAAAGAAACGTACGGATTGAATGTGTATTTTTATTTCAAACTCGAGCTTTGTTTCAAACTTCGTTTGTTTTCGAGAGATGTTTGCTGGTTTTGATATTGACGAGAGCTATAATTATATACAGCGCGTTATCTAGCTTTGTCACATACTCATCACGCGCTTCTGCCACATAATCATCACGCACAGTTAAACGTTTAACTTCCGTGATCTAATTGTTAATTCTCCCCTCTAGCTGCTACATGTTTTCTTTCAAAGTAGGTACGAAAATTTGGTGTTAACCAAAAAATAACCAATTCTGCCAGATAAAACTTTGAGTGTTCTCATTGCCTGTTTGCTGGATAATGTATTGATATTACAGGGATAAGTTACAAGTTATATCACTTCCAGGAGTTTAAGGGTTTAAGAAATTGCACTGCGTGTAGACTATTTAACCACGAGGCAAATGGGAGAAACCAATGAAAGTTATAAGGGTATGTAAGTGAAATATTTTCACGTCTGACAACAATAACCGAGAATATGCGACTGAAATTAAACTTCACTGTTGTCAGGTGCACGAAAATTAAGATTACGACCTTTATTCATAAATAAAATGAGATCTAAACAGCTCTAATCAGTTACAGAATTAAAATTCATTTGTACCTGTTAAACTGTTATCCTCTGAATCCCTCTATTCTCCAAACGATGACATTTGTTAATTCTACACGCCTGAAAATATCAAAAATAATATTTTGCGTTTCAATAATTTCGATGAAAAAATGAAGGTAACATATTCACGAGTTTGAAAGATCTAACTTCATCAAATGCCCAGTTTCATGATCAAAATTGCTGTTCTTCTTTAAGAAAGTTATTGTGCCTGTTTTTATGTTTGTTTTCTTAATTCTTTTTATGATTATTACTTGTTTACATGTTTCTCTATGGCGATTAATTAATTCTGTGATTTAAATTCAGCTCTTTTTCTTTTAGTGCTAAACACTCGCAATCCGCAAAACCTCTTTTCTTCTCAGAGCAGGACATGTTACACTCTGCCAGAACTGAATCGATAAGGATGCATTCACACCGTGAGTTATATCGGACCAATGTAATTTCTCTTCAACTGATCGACTTGATATATCCCTCGTTCAATATGATACACATTTGTTTTGGCCATCTTCCCGTTAGCGTTACAGTTCTCTCAAATTTTCATTTTCCGCTCTCACCGTGACAACTTCATAAAGTTTCTAAAAATAATAACGGTAAGCTTCTTTCTTGTAAATAACTCCCGCCAATTCTGCACTTAATATTTCCGCAGTCAAAAGCGTAGGCGTCTAATGAAATCACCAGAGGGAGATACAAAGCTAAATAAATCACATCAATACTATGTATTCTTTATGTATATTTTTTTCCAATTTTCTCGTCGTTCGATTATAATATGCTACATATTTCTTCATTAGCTTTCCTCACCTCAAGAGTGCTTGCAATAAATTTAACTCCCGAAAGTTCTTTTGCAAGAAAAATACTTGACTTCTCGTTGTATCTAGAGAAAAGTATATTTAAATCGTTTCGCGTCTTGTAAAGAATTAAAGCGAATACCATAAGTACTCTTCTTAAAGAAATATCCAAGGAAGATATTCAAAATTTTTTAAATCTATGTACTCCATGCACCTTTGTGTACAGAAACCCTCGATGTATCTTACAGGAATTTTATGAATAAACTGTCACTGAACCAGTTGTCTTTAAGTTGGAAGAGAAATCTGAGACCCTAGCTCTCTGTCTCTTTGAGCTCCAGAATTGTCTGCTGAGTTTGGCGCAGTAAGGCAGGTCATAAATAAATGTATAATAGTTCATACAGACAAGTGACACATGATACTGGAATCAGAAATGCCGCAGCTTCGTAAATCCCTCATGGGAAGATAAATAAGCTACCTCAAGGTCTGGTATGTTTATCGACATGTCAGGATTGATATTTGATCTGTCGTTTAACATGACCTGACGGACAGGGTTTTTTTTTCGGTTGTCGGTTACAAATGATTTTTTCCTTTGTCACGAAAGAGCTTAAAATTTCCTCTCTATCATGTATTTTAAGACATGAAACTTTCGACATTGATGATCTAAGCAGTATACAGGATAATCTTCTATGTATCCACTGTATGTCATGGCTCAGTAACGAGAAATATATAGCTATGTGAGTGAACTTCAGATCGTAAAATCCGATGGTCTAAGATTTGATCTTGCGTTCGTGACGAGTAAACAAGATCGATATTTCTTTCATTCTTTTGTATCATGTTTTAAATTATTTCTATTTGTATCTTTAGTCAATACCCGTTTATCGCATTCACT